CTGCCACAATCATTCACTTTGATCATAGTTATAATAAATCAAGACAATCTCAGCAAAATGTAAGTTACTTTGATAATGAGTTGAGCTGACTTTTGGCCACACTCATGGTTCATTACTTTAAAGTTATAACTTTCTTCAGGTATCAGTATCAATGAGACAAACGTTGTACTGTGTAAAGATGATTGATGCCAAAGGTGAAAACTTTGTAATTTCTTGGAAGTCTCAGAAAGTTGATAATGTTAGCTCATTATACGATGCTGTTAAAGCCGACCTGTGTGACTCTCTTCCCTGCTGTCCTGAAGATATTACTCTTGGTTATTATGAACCAGGCCACAGCTTTAACGGAAAGCAGTTATCTTTAACAAATGTGACCCGATATAAGAAAACCAGGCTATCTGCGGGATTTTGGTAAAATCAGTTTTTGGTACCCACAGATAGAGAAAAAAATTTCCTTTCCAGCAATTTCCCGTTTATGACAATGCGCAATAAAATTTGGAAGTTAGGGACGCTGTTTGGACGATTGCTCTGGAATACTAGTTCAGAGAAAAAGCCATTTTCAGTTATTTTCAATGTTTCCGTGTCATGCCCGTTCATGAAGTAAATAAAACCACGCCCACACGTAAAACCACACCCAAATCAATTAATAAACGGGGAATGAAGAAAGAAGCACTTTTGACTCGCTTTTGACAGCATTTGAACTATCTTTTCTTGTATAATGGACATCTTAAGAGTTGTCTAAAGCCCTGCCATTCATGGTGACTTCAAATACTAGTAAGTTTTTTCATTACCAAGTTATAGAGTTATTATTACGTCTTCTAGTGCTAAAAGTCCTTTTTATGGACTGTTTTGAACACATATCATCCACATACTTCATTCAAATCCAGCCATCACTTTTCCTTGAGTTTACAGGTAATATATATATTATTTTTATTTAGAAGTATAATTAAGTTGTTTACATGTAACGTTAAAATAATTTATAGTCTTTGCACTTGTGGATGAATCCTATGAAAGATTTGTTGTTATTGTTATGTTTAATGATGTTTCTTTCAATTACTGTTGTAGCAGGGCCTCCTCCTCTTCCTTGGCTACCTCCCCCTCTTCCTTGGCCACCTCCCCTCTTCCTTGGCCACCTCCACCTCTTCCTTGGCCACCTCCCCCTCTTTTTTGGCCACCTCCTCTTCCTGCTCCTCTCCCTCCACCTCGTCCCTGCTTCCCTTTACCCCTATGTTGTCTCCTTTTCTTCTAACAAAAAGAGATTAAGTTATTATTGTTTACATTAATGCTCCACTGTTACTTTGAATTTCTTTCCCTTCTCTCTCTCTGTCTCCCCTCCCGTGCCTGTGTCTTCTCCCGTCTCCGTCTCTTCTGTCCCCTCTGTTTCGTTTCCTGCCCCTGTTTCTTCCTTATCATCACTGTCCTTTATTTCTCCTCTCTCCCTCCTTCCTTCTTCTATTACTTCCAGCTGTCCTAATTTACAATGTCATAAAGCCTTTAATTTACACTTAAATTATGTTTACTTTTAAGAGCTGGCCGAAACTGTTCCAAGTCTTAAAGTTAATAATCAGTGTTAAATGAAAGTACAAGTAATTCAACTATTATTAATTTAATTACCTAAGGGCCTTCCTTCTTTCTTCTTGCCTAATGTTTGTAAATAAAACTAACCAACATACAATGCAAAGTTACTTTTTAATACAATGGTTCTTCTTACATCTGCTTGACAGCAAAAATTATTAGATTGCAATCATAAAAGAAAACTTACTTAGGCCATTTGATTCTATTAAAAACAATGTCATTTTCAATGTCAATTTCACTCAATCTTACCATTCTCTTTTGTACTGTCTCCTCTCTCCTCTTTGTCTCTGTCCTTTTTGTCTCTTTCCCCTTTCTCCTCTGTCCTCTCTC